GGGGGTGAGGAATGGCAGAGTGAAGTGGGCCTTATGCAGATATGTATCATTGTGACTGCCCAATATCGTTTTGAACTGATTATGACTGGACCACATCCAATTCGATTTCTACATAACTGATACGTATTTTGATGCCGTAATGTATCATTGTAACAGCCAAATATAATTTTGAACTTTTCTTGATTTGACGGTATCTCATTCGATTTCTTAACAACTGATTCGAATTGCACAGGGGTTTTTTTCGACTTGGCCAAATGAATGCGATTGGCAGTATGCACTACCTATAATACTTTTATCGATTCTGTGTCTACCCCACCTCGACGTGGCGAAAGAGGCTATAAATCTTTTTTGAAGAGCGCCCCTCCCTCCCTCCTTCACCTCCCTATCCCTTTCCTCCTCAAAAATCCCATTCTCTGTCCGTCTCCTCTTTCCTCTCCACCTTTTGCCTGTTGAGAGAAACTTTACGTTGGGGTTCATAAAGGACGGTTGTAAACATTATGTTAATCAACAAATAAATATGTACATAGCACAGGCCATGAACTAACGTGATCCCTGCGCGCATACCTGGAGTCGGTTCCTGTGTTGGCCATAAATTATGTCACGACGGGGTGGAATCAGGCGTTCGTCAGTTATTTGTTAGCATATCCACTGCTTTGAGTAAGACTCCGACGTAGATATCATTTTGAAAAGCGACGTTTGACGAGTCCACTTGGAGTTATTGATATAATCTTCTTAAAGCTTGTTAATTTGTCCTTGCTTTTGATTAAAAGAATATACATTTACTTTTAACAGAAGCCGAGATATGTGTGATTAAAGAGGTAAGTGGTCGCCTTGTGTCAGAAGTAAATTAAGGAGAAAATGGCCTCTGAAATTTAGTGACTTCCAAAGTTTGATTGTTCTTTGAAATTGCCATTTACAATTGCTGTACCTTTGATCAACGTATTTTCGGTAAAATTCGTACGGAAGTGTGTCTTAAAAAGTATTTAGCCAAAAACAAACAAAACAAAAAGATACATTATAGTCCAACGGGCGGAAAAATGTAGGTTTCTTCGATTTCATTATTTTGACGAGCGCCTGATTTCCCTACGGCGCCACACAATTATGTTTATAGCTTTGTCTCCCTTGCCGTTTGATCTCCGCCGTTTATGTAGGTCACAACAACCCACGACACTCAAACTGGCTCTGAAGACGTATTATCTAAGTACATTCGAAATTGTCTAAGACAATCACTCTTTGTCGAGGACAAACGTGGCCGTCTCAGAAAGGTAGGCGAATCATACAATGTCATGATGATGTTGAAAAAGACAAGGGAAAGGGGGAGGGGGCGGAAAGTGGCCGTTTGAACAGGTGATTGTCTTTTACTGATGACCGTTGCAGCAGGTTCGACTGTATTCCAGAAACCGGAGAGTGGTTGAAAGCTGTTCTTTGGCACTTCTATTCAGGTTCTAATCTTTTGTTATATCTCAAGTCTACTATTGTGGATGTTTATATACTTTTGGGTGATCGTCTTCTTATCCCTGTATTGTGGGTGGTT